TTTTTAAGTTTTTTTTTTTAAGTTTATTTGAGAGGGGAAGGTGGAGCCAGGCGAGGGGGAGAGATAATCCCCAAGTAGGCTCCCCACAGTCTGTGCAGAGCCCAAGGCGGGCTCGAATTCATAAACCATGAGATCATGACCTGAGCTGAAGTCAGAGGCTTAACCAACTGAGCAACCCAGGTGCCCCAATAGTATATACATCTTTTAAAAGAATAATTCCCAAAACAGCATGCAGCTCCTCTGGAAATAGTATGAGAAACTCTTAAGTGTTTAAACCTTAAACTGTATTCACCTTAAATCAGTAAAATTCACCTGCTAGGACTTTATTTTAAGAAACTATCCTAAATTTAGAATGCTTTCATATGTATGAGGGTGCCTGGGTGGCTCAGTCAGTTAAGTGTCTGACTTTGGCTCAGGTCATGATCTGATAGTTCATGAGTTTGAGCCCCACGTCAGGCTCTGTGCTGACAGTTCAGAGCCTGGAGCCTACTTCAGATTCTACGTCTTCCTCCCTCTCTCAAAAATAGACATTAAAAAGATTAAAAAAGAATGCCTTCATGTATAAAGTTAGCTATCTTAGTGCTCCTTTTAGGAACATGTAATCAGAAGCAACCTAGTCAATATTACCAAGAAATGGTTAAATCGTGGTCTCTGGTTGAACAAAATATCACAGCTGGTAAAGGAATGCTTATTGGGGTCCCTGGTTGACTCAGTAAAGCATGTCACTCTTGATTATGAGGCTGAGACCCACATTGGGTATAGAGATTACTTAAAAATATTTAGAATAATAGTAATAATAAAGCAATGCTTATAAAGATTAGTAATTTTGAAAATGCTTATAATTTGTTAAAAAATAATCAAGATATAAAACAGTATATGCAGAAGCATAATCACATAAACTACTCTAAAATCCAAACTTATAAAATTCATAAAAAGAAAAAAAAATGAAATGGTTATTTTTGTGTTTGGACATAAGACTGAGGGTTTTTGCCTCACTGTACTTCATTCTACTTTCTTTAATAATTATAATTGTTGTCATAGGTTAAAAATTCATAATAAATATATATTTATAATCTTCTAACACTATAATGTACATGTCTGTAAGTGATTATTACATTTAGATTACACTATATAAAGATACTATTTACAGGAATAGATTAAAATTAGTTTTCCTAAAGTAACAAATCAAATATGCCTTAAATTCAAGAAAACTGAAAAAGCAAGTTATTAAAAGCACTACAGATTATCTCGAGTTACATAAATGCTCTTCTGTTATAGCTAATGAACAATGAAGACTAAAAAAGTGGCTCAACACTGTCTCTACTATTACTGAAATCAGAGTTTACCTCGTCAGATATATAATACATAGTATTTCCTCTGTAATTATGATTTCCTGGTATTACTCAATAATACCTAAAATCAAACATGAGACAAACATCTGATTCATTTTTCATTTTTTCAAGAAAATATAAGGGCAAAACAATGCTGAGAGATATCAAAAATACAATTCAGGGAAAAATCAAGTCTATGCAATTTTCAATACAATAATTTATGAATTTCCTAACAGTATATAATGAAGGCTTTCATTGCTTTGTTGAAATTTGTTTAACCTGAATGAGTTGCAGCTATTTCCATAAAATCCAGATATTAATTTTTCTTGAAAAACAAAAAATGTGTCCCATTCCTATACAGCAATCAACATGGTCTGCCTCCAACTACAGCCTACTAGCTGTTACCATTTATTATCTAGTTCACCTCTTGAACTCACTTCACCCGCCTGATTCTTTCAGAAACCTCATCTACGTTTTTCATTATGACAATACTTTTAAACAATAAAGTTAACAGGCTCACTGAAAAAAAAATTAGAACATACAAAAAAAAATGGATAAAATCCTGACATGTAGTAACTTTTAAAATGTTTATGCATATTATTTTTTCTAAACAGAGAGATTACAATATGCTGTTTTAAATGTTTGCCAACAATATCATAGTTTTGTATATCAATAACATATCATGTAAATATTTTAAGATATTAAATGCTAGGATGTGTAAACCTCTGAAACAAATACAGTTCAAAAAAATATGAGAGGTCAACAAATTCATTTGTAAAAGGCTTAATCTTGTAGTTTCATACTTAAAACAATTTTGATATTCATCCCAACATAATATGAAGGATGGGGAAAGGGGCAGGACAAGGACATAAGCAACTAATCACTAAAATATATGGTAAAGGACACAGTATTTGCAATTAGGCAATAAACAGTGCAGTGACTATGACATTCAGAAAATTTTAAAGTTTCATACACTACAAGGGAGTCAGTAAAATACTGACTCTTCAAAAAGTAGACAGTAAATCTTTTTAAACTGTAAGATTAATAGGTCTCTGCCCTTTCTGATTCCCTTGGCTAATTCCTCTGTGTCCTTACAAGATTCAAACAGCTGAGTACCCTCCCTCCCTAGGAACTTCACCTTGACTCTAAAGCTTAAATGATTCTCCTTTGCTGAATCTTACTCTCATTGTCATAAACTTGTCTGTAAAGTCCTCAAACTCAGAACCCTTGTACCTTCAACACATGGCACAGGGCCTGGCCCAGGACTACATCATCAAACAGAAAGAATACAAGTTAATCAAGGCATGAGCAAAACCAGGTTCTACTTCAAATTTGGTGCTTTCCCCCTATATGTACTGCTTCTCACACTGAATATGGCTAATATATATCTGTAGTCGGTAAATTCTCCCAGACCCTACCAATAACCATCCTTTGAGTCTATTCCAGACTGAAACAACTTTTTCCCTTAAAGTGCCTAACGGAGCTGCATTTTACTAACAAAATGATTCTTTTCTTTTTTAAAAAACACAATCCACTAAAAGAAGGAGCATCTTTAGTTCAGAACTAAGAAATAAAGATGAAAAGTTCAAATCTGCTTAATTTAATAAAACAGGTAACAATTTTCACACAAGATTTCCACCTCTAAAACCATATTGCATTAAACTAATTAGAATCATAGCAGCTCTCGTAGATTACTTTCAAAAAAGGCAATCTAACATTCAGACTAGCCTCTTTACCCTACCCTTAAAGTAATTCAAAGATCAATGGAGAAATGAAAATAGATTTGTTTCAAAAACATTTTAATACATTTATGAGTACCATAATGCTAAGGAACCAAGTACAAACAAGTTATCATTCTGAAGCTTCAGGAAAGGCAACTATACTCTTCCAGAGTGCCCCCTCCCCTCCTTTAGTGTCTCTGACAGTCACAAATCACTGTGCTGGTAGAAACATGGTAACAGTACAAAGCCACTTCTGAAATTCTTTAGAAAACATAAAAGAAAAAAGCTGTATTGTTGCCAAGTTCAGTGTTAAGTGGGATATTACCTATTTTCCAAACATACAACCTGAGCATAAAAATATAGTACAGCTATGTCGGTACCAAACTAAAAAAGTATATACTAACTGGGAAACCTCTGCTAATATTCTTAATTCTGTACCTGCAAATATTTAAGTTCTTACAATGATAAATGTATACCACTGCTTCCAGAGATATACCTACACCATATAAGAGCAACATGTTAGCCAATCTGGTAATTCCTATATAAATTACAGACCTGAGGTTTAAAGGAACCTTAATCTGGTCCAATCTGATTTTATAGATTTGACAGGATAACCAGAGAGCTGAAGTAACTGGCTCAAGGTCATGAGTTGAAAACAGCAAGAGTTCTCTAGTAAAGCACTTTACAGCTTCACTGTAGAAACTAGCTTATTCACAAATATTCCAGATAATGGCTTACTTTAGTTCTAACTTATGACCATAATGCAATGATATAATTACAAATAAACCTTAAGCTAAAGTTTATACACAATTAACAGTATCTTAATACATAAACAAGCTTCATTCATTTAAAAAAATCAGTAACTTGAGGAATCATTCATGTTTTAAAAATAACCATTTTAATATTAAAAATCTGACGCCTATATTTATTTATAAGTACGATGTAGTTAAATTTCAAAAAGAGGTTGGTGATCATTTTAAGCCACCACTTAAAGTGCAAAAGATTTCCTGTTGGTACTGAAAGTACAAAAGTCCAAGTTATAGAAGTTTTCTCTGAGTATTTACAATACTGCCTGTAGTAAATTTCAAGCTGCAAGATTTGCCCCACAGAAACAAAAAAAGAGTTTTTTGATAGAGACAGTATATACATTAAACCAGGGCAAAACTATTGACACATAAATCTAAAAACTGAATCTTGGTGCTAATATTAAAGCCAAAAAAATGCAATAACACAATATAGCAGATCTGCAACAAACTTTTCAAATTACCTGAATTATCTATAGATTCCTAATACATATGACAACTTAGACACTTTAATACCTTAGAACACTAAAACTAAGTAACACATTATAATTCTATTGAAATACCCTAATAGTAAAAAAAATGAGAGGAAAACATCAACATCTATTTTTTTTTTAACGTTCTTTATTTATTTCTGAGAGAGAGACAGTGTGAGCAGGGGAGGGTCAGAGAGAGAGGGAGATACAGAATCTGAAACAGGCTCCAGGCTCTGAGTTAGCTGTCAGCACAGAGCCCGATGTGAGGTTTGAACCCACGAACCATGAGCAATTAATGACCTGAGCTGAAGTCGGACGCTTAACCGACTGAGCCACCCACGCGCCCCAACATCTATTTCTTAAAAGAGCAACACTAGAAGAATTGCTGATGGTATTCTGATAACGACTAGAACTAGTTCACACTATTATGTGTTCACACTACCAATTTTCCTTTGCATGTAGAATCTATGTTGCCTGATAGAAAAATCTCATTTAAAATATGCAAAATACCTAAAGGACAAAAACCTTACTCAGAGGCCACTGATACTGCAAGACCACAATAACAAGTACCAAAAATGAAAGACCTTTAAAAATCACAATAAATGTAATGTATCATTCACAGAACTACTGAGTTCTTATTGAAAGCCAATTTTACACAGAATTTTAACAAACCTGATTTTTTATTTTTGAAGTCCACAGCTGATGAAAGCCTGAAATCAAAGTATTTTATAGATGAAGAAACTGAGGTTCAGATAGATGGTTGAGCCAGAAACAAATCCAAATTTTCTAACCTAGGAAGCTTGCATACTTGTACACTCCTGACAGCAGGTGAAGACAACCCTGACAACAGCCTGCAAAGACAAAAAAACCTTAAAAAGCAAACAGTTCAACCCCCCCCCCCAACAAAACAAAACAAACCCCACAGAATCCTCCTACAAGACCCATTAGAATTTCAGGGCACCTATAATCCTGAATAGTAAAGAAAACGTCTAACGATAGAAATAATTTATTATAGAAATAATCCTATCTAAAATGGTTAAAATAAAAAGGGGGGAAATACTAAAACGGTAACTTTTCAGGTACCAAAAAAAAAAAAAAAAGAGAGAGAAAAGCAGCCATTCTCTAGAGACCTGTGCTTTTTCTGGATTTTACAACACTATTTCAAAAACGTTCACACCCTCTCACCCATAATCTTTACGAACCCGCAAATTACTGGCCTTCCGCCCCCCCCCACATGGGACTACACACGGACACACGCACACATGCTTTCCGCTCCATCTGTTTTTAGCTACTAAAAGTTAACGGACCCCCGAACGTCCAAAACATTTGTTTCTTGGGCGTATTTGTCATCTCTACTGCAAAAGCTTGGTTCTGAACAGAAAGTACTGGTATGGGAATAAATTAAATCAATGCACAAAATGGTGCTTTTATAACATTTCCAAAATGACGGGGAGTTCTCCATTCCCGCAGACTTCGACTTAGCTCCATAAGAGAGTAAAGATGAGCCAAATTCGCACACTTCCCCCAAGGCATATGGAGCTCTGAAGCCATCGCCTTCCTCCTAAAGAGTAATTATCTTCTCCTAAAATGCCTACGCTGCTCACAGCTCCTTGAAAACGTGGGCGAACTTTGAGACAGCCCTGGGATGAAAAGGGAAGAGCCTGGATTTCAGTTTTAGGAGAATGCCTAACTAAGAGGCCTGTATCACTTAACTATACACAACAGCCGCCGTCTGTAAGACGAAAAGGTCGGAGTGGAGGAAAGCCTGTTTTCAGTCTAATATTAACCCCTGTGATCCAGGTTCCTCGCCCCACGCTCTCCAACCCTAACCTGACAGGACTTCAGGTTACCCCTTCCCCACCAAACCGCCCACCTACCCCGCATTAGCGATCAGTCTTACGATTCTGAAGCATCAAAAATCACCCTCGCTCCTTGGAGTTCAGGCCGCCGTTGCTGCCGCCATATTACAGCTTGTGCGGCAAAATGCGTCAGGGAGGGAGGTGTGCGCCCAAGTGGAGAGGGCGGGGGCTGGCAGGGGGAGGGCCGTTTCCCAGGCCCGGGAGGCACGGCTGAAGGCCTTGTCCAGAGGCAACAGCTGCAGAGCCAGCGCCACGGTCTTTAGGGGACTAGTTCAGGAACCAAACAGCCCAGATACCTCGAGGGGAAGACAGTTGACTCAGCCGGGCCTAACGCGTCGGCTCCGCCCCTCTCCTCCCGCCCTTCCCGCTCTCGTACCCCGGGACTGCTGCAAAGGACGCCACCGAAACAATACGGGCCTCGCGCCACCTACCTGCTCCAGTAGTCTTCACTTCCCAGGTCCGGTCCTTTAAAAGCGCTTCAAATCTACCGCCGCCAGAAAAGGCGCTAAAGCCCACTAACCGCCTCCCTCCCCCACAATCCAGTCCTGGCGTGGAGGGAAAGCGTCGCGCCGGAAGAACGTCACCGGTTAGTGGCCCGCATCTTTTGATGTTCTCTTTACTTGCGTCACCTAGTAGTGACGTCACCGAGTAGTTCTAGGATGTTGATGCCTGTTAAATACCTAGTTCGTAGGTAGCTTAATCTTTGTCGTGTGAGTTGATTGGGAATGTTTGTAGCCGTCAGATTGCCGTGTCCTTCGTGAAATGAAATGCTTCATCTAGTAAACATTCATCTTCTGAAAGAGTATTGGGAAGGAAGCCCTACCTTCAAGGAAATTCCGCTTAAGCTACCAGTTAATGCTATGGCACCAAGTTTTAAAAAACAGAAACGAAGAAAGGTCTAGTTGAGGAATAAATGAAATCACAGCTGGCATTGATACTCTTTCTTTTTTAAGTTCTCACAGCAACACCATGAAATAGGTTATTAATACTTGTTTTACAGATAAGGAAATCGAAGCTCAGGGAGGATAAGTACCTCTACCCTAAACACACTGTTTCTAAATACCAAAGCAAATCTCTAACTCCAAATCCAGGGCTTTTTAGGAAAATAGGACGTATATTGTTTTTGAATTATTTTCAGAGGCAAGCTTCCCTAGATTAAGTTAAAAGTAAATGCTTCTAATATTTAGGAGGACGGGCTGCTGGCGATCCCTGTGGAAACATGGGGTGAGTGAGTTTTAAAAGGAGCTAGCTAAGGGCGTCTGGGTGGCTCAGTTGGTTGAGCGACTGACTTCGGCTGAGGTCATGATCTCATATAGTTGGTAGGTTCCAGCCCCACTCCAGCTGTGCTGTGCTGACAGCTCAGAGCCTGGAGCCTGTTTCAGATTTTGTGTCTTCCTCTCTCTCTCTCTCTCTCTCTCCCTCCCCCACTCACATTCTCTCTTCTCTCTGTCCAAAATAAAAAACATTCTTTAAAAATTACAAAAAATTTGGGTCAGCTGGGTGGCTCAGTCGTTGAACGTCAGACTTCGGCTCAGGTCATGATCTCACGGTTCGTGGGGTCGAGCCCCGCGACGGGCTCTGTGCTGACAGCTAGCTCAGAGCCTGGAGCCTGTTTCAGAGTCTGTGTCTCCCTCTCTCTCTGACCCTCCCCTGCTCCCTGCTCACGCTGTCTCTCTCTCTCTCTTTCTCTCTCTCAGAAATAAAAACATTAACAAAATTTTTAATTACAAAAAATAAAAGGAGCTAGCTAAAAGGACTTAGATTTTATATAGAAAGAATGGTAAGTTACGATCATTTACATTTTTCACTAATTTAGGTTAGGTAAATTAATTATCAACTACAGTTGGACATGTGGTACATTTAAGGGTCTTGACCAATTTTAATAGCTGTGAAACTGAGAGAACACTCTTCTTCTGCATCTCCCCTTGTTTTAAGGCATTACATTTATTGCAGGAGAGCTGCAGTTCACCAATTCAAATACTAATCTCATCCAGGAACATCCTAGCAGATATATCCATAAATAAATGTTTAATCTAGGTAGCCGTTGGCCCAATCAGGTTGACACAAAAGTAAGCATCCAAATGGGTATTGCACAATTTACTTATCTCTTCTACTTTAGATGGATATTTGTGTTTTGGGGTTTTATCTATTATGAATAAAGTTTCTATGAACATTCTTGTATCTAGTATATTGAGCACATATATTTCACATACATGTTGGAAATATACCCAGAAATGGAAGTGCTAGATCTTAGGGTATGGATAGGATACGTTTTGGTAGATAACTGCTAAAGAGTTTTCTGAAGTGGTTGTACAATATTCTTTTATTTTTTAAAGATTGTATTTGTTTCTTTTTATTTTTTAATGTTATTTTAATTTTGAGAGAGAGAGACAGAACATGAGCAGAGGAGGGGCAGAGAGAAAGAGAGAGAGACAGAATCTGAAGCAGGCTCTAGGTTCTGAGCTGTCAGCACAGAGCCAAACAAGGGGCTCGAACTCACAAACCGTGAGATCATGACCTGAGCCAAAGTTGAACACTTGGCTGACTGAGCCACTCAGGCACCCCAATATTCATATTGTATATGCCTTTTAATTCCAGTATTGGTGAGCAGTCTCATTTGCAAATAAAAGAAAACCAGCTTCAGCTAGCATAGGTAAAATTGGGAATGTATTGCTTCATGAAACAAAACTGTTGCAAGTGTGGTGGCTTTAAAATATGTCTATAATTTATCTAATGTGACTATCTTTTTAATAAGTAGTAAAAGGCAGAGTGACAGTGTGATTTTGGAGACTAGGTCATAAAAGGTATCGTGATTTCCTCCTGGCTGTATCTCTTGGATCACTCACTCAAGGGGAAATCAACTGCCATGTCATGAAGATGCTCAAGCAGACAATGGAGAGGCCCATGTGACAAGAAACTAGCTTCCCGGCGAAAGTCGGAGAGGAACTGAGGTCTCCTGATAGCAGCCATGTGAGTAAGCCCTATGGAAGCAATCCTCCAACCTCAGTCAAGATGTCAGATGGCTGTAGTCCTTGTTGATATCTGACTTAAATCATGTAAGAAACTGTGAGCCAGAATGACTCAACTAAGCTACTTCTGAATTTCTGGCCCACAGAAACTGTGGAATGATAAATGTTGTCACTAAATTTTGGGAGATTTATTGCAGCAGCAACGGGTAACTTACACAGAGAAGAAAGAATAGATGGAATATCATAGAACTTGTCTCCTGTCTAATTTGACTTATCTGTGTTTTGGCTTCATTCTCCAGCCTGAAGAAGTTACCTTACATCTTAATAATCTAAGTCCCTGCCAGCTTCAGTTATAAAATGTCAGAGAAGTCTTTGATTCACATTACATTGACAGACAGCAAAATTTGTGCTTGCAGTTACATAGTGAGGGGTGTGACACTGGGAAGTGTCTGATGTGCCTACATTTTTTTTTTTTAGCTGTCCTCTTGCATCTATGTAAGGATATGTGAATACTTCTAATCAGTGGAAAGTAAGTGAAAATTGTGCATATTACGTCTAGGCAAGATGTTTCCAAAAGTACTATATCTTCTCCATGTTCTTTCTTCCTATTTTTGTCAGCTAGATCCAGAGAGTTTTAAGGCCCTGGGGGATTATAAAAGAAGCATAGTTCCCTGAATCTCTGAATAGAGAAAAATCCTCCACTGACTAGGGATATCCACATTGGAAGGTGATACAGTCAAGAAGTCAAATTTTGTCCCTTAATCCACTGACATTTGGCTTTATTTATCACAGCAGATAGCATTACCCATCTACTAGGCCATGGTCATGAATTATGAGATTTCACTTAGCCGATTTCATTTCAGTCTTTGTAGTGTGAGGAATGCAAAAGAAGGGAAGTTGGTGGGCTCGGCTACTACAATTAACTTACTATTATTTTATTTTTAATTTTTTAATTTTTTAAAAGATTTTATTTTTAAACAATCTCTGTACCCAACGTGGGGCTCAAACTCACTACTGCAAGCTTAAGAGTCACATGCTCCACTGACTGAGTCAGCCAGGTGCTTCAACTTACATTTATTTTACAATAATGAAAATTTTTGTTTCTATCCATAGAAAAATAACAAATTAATTGTTCTAATGTTCTTCTATATCACCAATAATATGTTAAAATTTTTAAAAACACATGCTTGTTGGGGTGCCTGGGTGCCTCAGTCAGTAAAACGTCTTACTCTTGGTTTTGGCTCAGGTCATGATCACATGGTTGGTGAGTTTGAGCCCTGCATCAGGCTCTCCGCTGATGTTGCGGAGCCTCCTTGGGATTGTCTCTCCCTGTCTCTGCCCCTCTCTCTCTCTCCTAGAAATAAATAAAAAAACATTAAAAAAAAACAAAACAAAAAAAACCAGAAGGTGGCTCTAGGCTCCGAGCTATCAGCACAGAGCCCAATGCATGGCTTGAACTCAAAAACTGCAAGATCATGACCTGAAGTCAGACGTTTAACCAACTGAGCCACCCAGGTACCCCAGGAGATAAATGTTAGTACAGGGATGTTCTTAATGTTAGTATAGGAATAGAAAAGAAAATTATTGGAAACTTCAAGGAAAAGGAATTGGAAAGGATTAGGGGCAATTTTTTTTAAACCTCTATAGAATGTTCACAATTTTACAATAACTTCTATTACTGTGAAATATATGTGACAACAAGCATGCTTTTTTAAAACAATGTAATCAACTTGCTCACAACCAGTTTTTAAATTCACTTTTTAATTTAGAGAGAGAAAAAGAGAGAGAGAGAAACAGCATGAGCAGGGGAGGGTCAGAGAGAGAGTGAGTCACAGACTCTGAAACAGTAGAGCCACCTTCTGATTCTGTGTCTCCCTCTGTCACTGTCCCTCCACTGTTCACTCTATCTCTTTCTCAAAAATAAATAAACATTTACAATTTTTTTTTTAAGAAAGAAGAACTTTATCCTCCTTCTTCCAACAAAAATGAGATCCCAGGGACTCTTGGGTGGCTCAGTCACTTAAGCATCCAACTCTTGATTTTGGCTCAGGTCATGATCTCAGCGTGGTGAGAGCAAGCCTTGACTAGGACTCCATGCTTAGCATGAGGCCTGCTTAAGATTCTCTCTCTCAGGTGCCTGGGTGGTTCAGTCAGTTAAGTGTTCACCTTTGGCTCAGGTCATGATCTTGCAGTCTGCGAGTTCGAATCCCTTATCAGACTCTGTGCTGACAGCTCAAAGCCTGGAGCCTGCTTCGGATTCTGTGTCTGCCTCCCACTCTGCCCCTCTCCCACTCACATTCTGTCTCTCCCTCTCTCTCAAAAATAAGCATTAAAAAATTCAAGAACAAAAAAGGTTCACTCTCTCTCTCTGTCTGCCCTCTCCTGCTTGCATGTATGCACTCTCTCTCTCAAGAAAAAAAAAAAAAGATCTCCTGACACATATGCTCTTAAATTGCTTTTGTTTGCATTAAAATACATCATGAACGTTTTTTCTGATATCTATGTAACCTTCCATAGAATAGATATACCATAATTTATCCAGCCATTCTTCTATTGGACATTTCAGTTGTTGCAAGTTTGGGTTAAGACAAACAATATTGTAGTAAACATCCTTTTACGTATACCCTTATATCCTTAAAATACTGATGCTTATAAAGCTGCAGGAAAGATGGCCAGAAGTGAGATGAATGCATCTCAGAATACATACTTTTCAATGGGGCGTATAGTACCAGATTAGTGTCCTGAAAGGTTGTAGCACTTTAAGGTTGCATGAAAATGGCTGCTTTCCCTCATGAAGGTTGTTTTCAATCTTTTTAGTTTTTCCAATTTAATGGGTCAAAAAATGGTATTTTATTTTGTAATTTCCTGACTGCCACTGAGGTTGCCCTCCCCCTTTTTAATTGAATAACTTTTTAAAAATTGTGGAGTGCCTGAGTGGCTCTGTCAGTTGGGCAGCGGACTTCAGCTCAGGTCATGACCCCATAGTTCATGGGTTCGAGCCCTGCGTCAGGCTCTGTGCTGATAGCCAGCTCAGAGCCTGGAGCCTGTTTTGGATTCTGTATCTCCCTCTCTCTCTGACCCTCCCCTGCTCACGCTGTCTCTCTCAGAAATAAATAAAAACCTTAAAAAAAAAAAAAAGAATTGCAGTAAACTAAGGGCTCCTGAATGGCTCAGTTGGAGAAGCATGTGATTCTTGATCTTGGAATTGTGAGTTTGACCCCCTCATTGGGGGGTGTAGAGATTACTTAAAAAAAAAAAAAACAAAACAAAACCTTAAAAAAAGTTTAAATTGTAGTAAAATACACGTAACAAAATTTACAATCTTAAGTAATTTTAAGTGTATTGCTCAGTTGTGTTAAGCACATTCACATTGTGCAGCCAATCTTCAGAACTCCTTTTGTCTTGCAAAACTGTAGCCCTATAAAACTCTTCATTGCCCTTTCCCTCATCCCCTAGCAACTGCTGTTCTACTTATTGTTTCTATGAATTTGACTACTCTTCCTCATATAAATGGAATCATACAATATCTGTTCTTTTGTGTCTGGCTTATGTCATTTAACATAGTGTCTTCAAGGTTCATCCATGTTGCAGCATATGTCAGAATTTCCTTTCTTTTTAAAACTGAATAAAATCCCATTGTATGTATATATGATATTTTCTTTATTTATCTGTCGATGGACACTTGGGTTGCTTCCATATTTTGGCTATTATAAATAATGCTGCTGTGAACAGTGCTGTACAAATAACTGCTCAAGTCCTGCTTCAATTCTTTTGACTATATATCCAGAAGTAGAATTACTAGTTTACATGATAATTCTGTTTAGTTTTTTGAGGAACCACCATACTGTTTTCCACAGCAGCTGCGCCATTTTACATTCTCACCAGTAACATGCAAGGCTCGCGGTGTCTCCACATCCTTGCCAACACTTGTTATTTTCTGATTTTTTGTTAACTATCCTAATGGGTGAGAAGTGGTCTCTCATTGTAGTTTGATTTGCATTTCCCTAGTGGTTAGTGATGTTGAACATTTTTTTTCATGTGCCTGTGACTATGGAGAAATGTCTACTCAAGTCTTTTGCCCATTGAAAAACCATTTTTGTCACTAATTTATAGAAGTGCTTCAAAAATTCTGGATATTAATCCCTTATCAGACATATCATTTACAAATATTTTCTCCCATTCTGAGTTGCCTTTTCACTCTGTTGATAGTGTTCTTTGATGCACCAAAGTCTTAAATTTTGATGAAGTTCATTTACTTAGTTTTTTTTTTTTTTCTCTTCTTGCCTGTGCTTTTGGTGTTATAGTCAATAAACACTTTTTTTTTTTTTTAACTGGCAAGATTATTCCAGGAGAAAAAGCATTCAAGTTAATTGGTGAGAAAAAAAAAACCCAAAATAAACAAAGAAGCAAAAGTCTCTGATGCTCTGATGTTGGAGAAACTGACCTAATGCTCGTTGTGAAGCCTCAGTGTTATTTTAAACTAATCTGACACAGCTCAAAGTACATGTTCTGTTGGACATAAACAATCTCACAGAACATTGACAAGGTCACTGTGCCACAGAAAATCACAAAGATTTCTCTCCCATTAAATGAGTGAATGCTACTTCTTCACCAATTTTAACTTTATTTCCATTTTAGTCTGCCTTCTCTATAATTAAGATGTATTAGATGCCCAATCATAGACTTGCCCAGCTTCCTTATGGCACCCAAGACAGAGCAAACCTTTCCTTCCATAGACCCACCCCCAAATTACCCAACCAAAGAATCCTATAATAGGTTCTTTCTAATACTCTTTTACTGAGCAACTAAATGATTCCCTGCTGTGTGCATTTTTGCTAGCTGCAACAAGTAATAAACCTCAACTACAGGCTTCTTGTGATTTTGGCTGAAGGGCATTGATGTTTGCTAGGAGGAAATTAAGAGCCCCTTTTGTTAACCACTTGTTAGCTCTTGTAAAAGATGCGTTTTCATGATTTAAGTCATTAGCTACAGTACAATTTTATGATGGTGGACTTAAAATATTACCTTAATTTTGTTCTCAGGTTTATATATTTATACATAAATATATATTTTATATAATGCCTTAGGCTGCAAGTAAAGAAAAAAGTTGCTAACAGTGACTAAACAAAAAGGTTTCCTTTCCTTACATAAACAAGATTCCAGAGAAAGGCAAGCTTCAAGTATTTGTTCCTTAGGCCAGTCTCCTTACAATTCCACAAACATGAGAAGGAGACAAACAGCAGTGAACTAGCTGTCCTGACACTATCCTTTAGGCCTTACTGTTGCCAGGACCTGGTCTGGCTCTCATAGCTCAGCCTTGATATTCTGTTAAACAATTGCACAGAACACCAACACGAGACAAAGCCACTGTCTGGCTATGATGGATCAAGACAAAGACAAGACCATTACATAATCATATCAGAACTAAGACCAAACAAGAACATAGTCCAAATCACAAAAAATGACAAAACATCTACCTATCCTGGCTATTATGAGTGACTGCTCCCTCTATATCAAACACAGCTTTAACTTCATTCCTCCTACCCTGTGGATAAAGTTTATTAAGATACGCAATAATAGAATTATTCCTGCTTCCTCACATCATCCAGTCCAGAGAAAAGTTCCCTAAGCCTCGCCAAAATCACTTAACACAGGGCTGAATAATATAAGTTCTTTCTAACACCTTTTTAATTTGACACCCCTTGGAATATGCTCTTCATTGCAATTGGTCAGTAGTCCTAACTTTGTTTAACTATAGGTCTTTGGCTGAAGGGCATTGACACAGGTTATGCCCAGTTTCATCCCTATGCTTTTTCTGACATTTGTTCTGAAACTCTTTCTAGTCTGTGCATTAAGAGCAACCTCAATCTTCAAATCTGTTATCAGTTGATCTGGTTCCAAACAACCTAAATCAGTGCAGCTCAAAGTGTGCTCTGCCATTAGCAGTTGCTTAGGGTGTTGGGGTGGGGGATGGGAAATGATTGCTATTGGTTACCTGGTTTCTTTTTGGACTTATGAAACTATCTTAAAATAAATTGTGGTGGTGCTCCACAACCCTAAATTAAGAAAAGTATTGAATTGTACACTGTAAATGGGTAAATTGCATAGTGTGTAAATTATTTCTCAATAAAGTTGTTAAAAATAAGGTTGGTCCAAAGGCTGGCCTCACCATGACACAGGTGCAGAAACTGAGAGTAAGGGTTTATTTTGTAGCCATTTGACAGTTATTTCATATATGTTGAATATAGTAAGAAAAATCCACCTGTGTTTTTTTCCATGTTTACCTTGTAAAATTTCATTTTATAAATATTACTTTTTTATTATATATTATTAAAAATCTGTCTTCCGTAGACTGGGGAAAAACCTCAACTTGGATTGAGGAACACTGACCTAAGGGACCCATCGGTTGTCCCAATTTCTCAATGTGGAACTACAATGCCCAGAATTCCTCGTGAATGCGTAAGCGACGTCCATTCCCTAGGCCTCGCCGCTACGTCCTCTGGGGCATGTAGTATGTGCCTTCCGCTGAGCACGCTGCGCCCTCCCGGCATTTTTTCTTGGTTTGGGAACTGGCACCGTCAGAGGAGAGGTGATGTTTCTCGAGGAAAACTATGTGATGTGGGATGACGTGGGCGGGAATTACACAATCAAACCTGTTGCGTTTTCTTGTTGGGGACCAGAAATAGCCTTGGCTTCTAAGCCATTGTAACCAGCTTTCCCCAGGATCCTCCAGAAAAGTTGTCGGTTAAGGGACGAACTTAACCTGCAAATCAGGGCTGGGTAGCTGCGGCAGGTTTTCTTCCACTCAGCACGTTTTCGGGCCCGAGATGCAGGCTTCGGCTGAGAACAGAGGCCTCCTTCCGGGTACTGGATTTTCCAGTGCTCGGAGGAGGTCATGGGTGAGCCCACTCCTAGGTGGGGATGCGGAAGATCACTTTCATTCGTTCGGTGCTACCGTGAGCCCGGCTTGGAGGATGCTTGTCATTTGCACGGGGTGTCACTGTTTACCCTACCCTCATCGTCCTAAGGCCTCTCCTTTTGTTAAGTGACTTCCCAAGGTCATTTATCTGGGAGCAGAACTGGGGACGTGACACCTTGATATTCTAATCCTTGAGCTGCTTCCATTTTCAGTTGTGGGTAGGCGGGAGAATCTTGAAGATACCTTTGCTTTGTACAGATTTTTGTGTGTTTGTGTATGACCTAGGTTGACACGCCCAGGATGTTGTACTGATCGCCACAAAATACCAATACTATCTTGTTTTTGTTTTTCCGTATGAACAGACAACATAGCCATAGACAAAACTCTGAGACAATCTTTAAGTATTGGTTTGTTGATGTAAGGAGGTGTTCCGAGTTGCCAAGTTGAAAGAATCGAAAAAACGGAGTGATTGTCTCAGCTTCACAAGTACTAGAGTAGATTTTTTTTTAACCTTTTTGAAAATAGCTTTCCTTATCTGTAAAATGCAAATGATAATATCTACCTGACAAGTTAATTGAGAAATTTTAATGGGATGATATATTTTAAGTCCTTTGTGAAATGTTGCAAAAATGTTAAGATTCTATGATTTTAATCCCAGCTTTTCTAAATGTTGTTTCTCAATTAAAAATATAAACATCTATAGTATATTTCTAAAACAAATTATCCTTTTCATAATTATCTTTGGTTCTTATATTGCTTCAACATTGTCTTGATACATTACTTGATTTCTTATTTCCTGACTGGAGCTTTAATTCTCTTGCTTTTTGGTTCAAAGTGATCTAAGGTCAGTAGGGACGAAACCCTTTCAGTTCTTTTAGAGTTTCAGAGGAAAGGAGCCCTTATCCTGAAAGTAAATATATCAGAGACTATCCTCCAAAAAAAAAATTTTTTTTTATAGGTCTGGTGCGCCTGGGTGGCTCAGTTGGCTGAGCTGTGTACTTCAGCTCAGGTCATGATCTCATGGTTTGTGAGTACCAGCCCTGCATCAGGCTCTCTGCTGTCAGTGCAGAGCCCGCTTGGGATTCAGATCTTCTGTGTCTTCCTCTCTCTGTCCCTCCCCTGCTCACGCTGTCTTTCTCAAAGATGAATAAATATTTAAAATAAATAAATAAAATAAAATTTTATAGCTCTGAATTAATGGCTGTTTCTTGTAAAAACATTGGAGGTGACATATTTATTTATTCCAAACAATTTGAGTCTTTTATTTATTTTTAAATGCTTATTTATTTTTAAGGGTGGGCAGAGAGAGAGGGAGACTGGATCCAAAGTAGGCTCTACACTGACAACGCGAAACTCAAACCTATGAATCCTGAGATCATGACCTGAAGCCAAAGTTGACCACTCAACCAACTGGGCCACCCAGGCACCCTGAATCTTTTATTTAAATAGATGGTTCTGAGTGTACGATTTTTTTCTCTTCTGCTTTTATGGTCGAATTTGAAAACTATATATATGTTCACATTTAACAAACATTTTTAAAAGGGAGTGCAGAGAGAAACCCCTTTTCCTAGACACTTAATTTTGGAACAAATCCTGCAGTTTGCTTCAGACTAGGAACAAAATCTTAACTAGAGTTAATGCAGAAAAAGCTTGTTATTTTAATTTAAATTTAGAAACTAATTTGGTATTAATCCATGTCAAACCAATCATTTTACAGAAGCTGCATTTTGAAATGGGATTTGGAGTTATCCTAATGGAAGCAAAATACGTGAAGGAAAAATAGTTCCCTTTTTACCAGGATATTACACCTGACTACTTGTTGCAAATGGTTTTCCTACCTAAGAAAACTTGTGACGGAAATGAAAAAATACCTTTTCTTAAAAGACTTATTGTTTGTAAATATGCTTCGTCTAAGAGCTGTTTGTCCATTCGCCTGGAGAGTGTTTCAGTTTCAATCCTGCAGTTGTAAACCACTAATTAGCGAGATGATTAAGTGTACAGATGAAGAGCAAATCTTTGGTCTTATTCGAAACAACAAAGCCATGCTTTCAGAAAAGCAAGTGGAATGTGCATTTAATGTACTTTGTCAGTTTCAAAAGCAGAAGACCAGCTTTTTAAAAAATGTTGAGTGTATCAGAGATCATCCCCAGTTTCTTACTCTTCATAATTTAGCTACCAATCAAATGGAATGCATGAATGATGATACCCTGGTGAATGTGTTGTACCTCACGCAACAGTAAGTAATGTACTTTTAGATTTTATAGAAATAATTATAGTTTACTTTTATATTTCAATTTTCTAAAAATCTCTTTAAAATTAAAAACAATGTGTTTGTTTTCTCTGAAAATAGTATTCCTGATTGTATGGTATTTTAAAGATGTTTAGAGGATATTCTTTGTGGTAATCATATATATCAAATGTCCTGTTGTGAAACCTATGTATATACAATTTTTATTTGTTAGTCATAACTCAGTAAAGGTGGGAAAACATTAAAAAAATTTTTTTACATTGCTTGCAAAGGACTCTAGCCTTCAAAAGAACTGGTTTTTCTTAGTAAAATATTCAGCAGGTATGTAAGAGAAAACACACACACACAAACACACACACAGAAGTTGTAATTAGTCTGTTTCTTTGTCTCATTCATGGAAAAACAGCAGTTTTCTCACATGATTGGCCAACCTGTGAGGGCTATCAGTAGCGATAGATGTCAGCATTGCACAAAAGAGAGATACAGTTGTTTTGATTAGGGAGACATCATATACAGGAAAGGGGCTTATGGCTTTACCTATTTGGGGGAGTGGCGTTAGACTAGAAAAAGAGTAGCTTTCCTTTTTTGTTTGTCTTGCTGTGGTTGCCAAGTTTTTCCTGTGAGGTACATGAAGAGAATATGTAATGATGATGGGCATCATTTACTTTCTCAATAGTCATGTTGGCTTGAAATGATGAATAGGATAAAATTCAACAAGTCTTTACTGCAGGACTCTTCAGAGGTTTTAATATATTAATGCATATCATAAATCTCTGAGTGAGGGCAGTTTCCAAACGCACTTAACCACAAAACATTGTGTTAAACACCTCACAAGACTCATGTCTATTAGGCAGATGGAGGAATGCTGCTTGGTGATGATTTGCCTAAAAACTATATTTCTGTGTTTTCCTCCTAAGTCATATTTTATTAATGAAAGGATTTCAAGAGTAAAATATAACTTTGTCTTCAGGTTTTAAAAACAGTATGTGGTTCAGTTTTGCTTCATGACTCAACCTGAAAGTCTCTTGATTTTTGGGAAAGAAACTAATATAGCGTAATGTTATAAAGATGTTGAAATTGGTTAAAAAGATATTTTTATATCTATAATATATAGTATATGTGGTTTAGTTATATAGAAAGTATTCATTGTTAATGAAGATCTACTGGAGGAGGAACTCATATGCTCTGATGGTACAATGTGTATCAAGAACTATAAAAATACCCTTGGATCCAATCATTTTGCTTCTAAAATTTATCTCTAAGAAAATAATCTGGGATATGAATGGATAAAGATGTGGTATACACACACACACACACACACACACACACACACACTGGAGTATTACTCAGCAATCAAAAAGAATGAAATCTTGCCATTTGCAACTACGTGGATGGAACTAGAGGGTATTATGCTAAGAGAAATTAGTCAGAGAAAGACGAATATCATATGACTTCACTCACGTGTGGAATTTAAGATACTAAACTGATGAACGTAAGGGAAGGGAAGCAAAGATAATATAGAAACGAGGGAGACAAAACATAAGAGAGTCTTAAATACAGGAACAAACTGAGGGTTGCTGGAGAGGTTGGAGGTGTGGGGATGGGCTAAATGGGTAAAGGGCATTATGAAAGACATTTGTTAGGATGAGCATTGGGTGTGATGCATAGGGGATGAATCATTGGAATCTACTCCTGAAATCCTTATTGCACTATATGCTAACTAACTTGGATGTAAATAAGTAAGTAAATTATTGCAAAATAAAATCTGGGACACATACTAAGATGATTGTACACTGATATTCATCTCAGCATTATTTATAATATTGAAAAGCTAAAATTCTAATAGTAGGTGAATGTTTAAATGATATGTTCATTTAATGGAATTATATACAATGTTTAAAAATTGTTTTGAACACTATGTAGTGTAAGGGGTAAATGACCACATTATAATATTAATCTCCTGAAAAAAAGGCTATAACAGTGTAAAAGTGGGGCGCTTGGCTGGCTCAGTCAGTGGAGCATGTGACTCTTGATCTTGGGGTTGTGAGTTCGAGCCTCACATTGGGTGTAGAGGTTACTTAAAAATAAAATCTTTTAACAAAATTTTAAAAAAGTGTGAAAAGAATATGTATATTTCATGTGTGTGTAGAAAAGATAACTGGAGCAAAATGCTACAAATTAATGATGGTGGCTATTTATGAGAGACCTATAAATGAGTTTTAGTACTCTATTCAAGCTTTTCTTTATTTTACAAACACTCTCTTATAAAAATATTTTTCTAATCAAAGTAATATATGTTATGTGTGCTTTTAAAATAATATGTATTATTGAATGTTTTATTGTTCAGTAGAAGGCATTAAACAGATAAAAGAATGAGAGAGTCCTGGGATAAAGTTTAGATGTTTATTACATTGTATCAAGAAATCAAAATACTGAAATGGGAATGGACAAGAAATAGGACTGTGTAAGAGTATAATAACTCGAGGTTCACTTTTGCATTATAATTGTTACTTGCATGATTGTTTTAATAATTTAAAAATGTTTATGTATGGAAAACTATTTTCTCTTGATTTTATTGAGGTGTGCTACTGAGGCCCAGAACCCACTGGCTGAAGCCCTATTTCCAGAAGCATGGAGAAGACTGGAAAGGCAAGTACTTTGGGTCATTGTCTAAGATCACAGTTATCCTAGTCAAGGTTAGCTCAGTGAAATCTTGTAGAGAAAGAATAGGGAGCTGCTGCCTAACTATCAAGCTTCACTGAAAAAAAAATTAGTTGAGGGTTTTTTGATTGTGTAAAGGAAAGGAATGAGGAATGTGTGTTTTCCTTAAGAGAAAGAAAGCTTGAATATTTGCTCTTTATTTATTAAAAAAATTTAAAGAAAAAATTTTAATGTTTATTTTTGAGAGAGAGAGAGAGAGAGAAGAAAGAGTGCAAGTGGGGGGAGGGGCAGAGAGAATCTGAAGCAGGCTCCAGGCTCCCAGTTGTCAGCATAGAGCCCAATGTAAGGCTCAAACTCACAAACTGCAAGATCATGACCTGAGCTGAAGTTGGACACTTAACCAAGTTACCAGTTCAATTTGCTCTTTAAATTAAGAGTAGAAACAGTGTGCTTTTCTACATGTATAATTAATTAAAATGTAAGTAAGATGGAGTAACAGCTATTTGGCTTTTTGAATCTTCTTTTCTGCAAGATTTTGCTTCAGAAAGAAAAGATTTGGAGCCATGACTGGTTCAGTGGGTAGGGTATGCGACTCTTGATCTTGGAGTCGTGAGTTTGAGCCTATATTCGAGGCAGAGTTTACTTAAAAAGCCTAAGAAAAAAAAGAAAGGAAAGATTCTCTGAGTGATAAGCTGCCTATAAAAACCTAGAAATTCAGGACCCATAAAAGGAGAGAAAAGAAGGCACCAGTTTAGTAGAAAGGAAAACTATTCAATATTGTTTAGCAGCATTTGTAGGTACTTGCCTATCACTTCTTCTTTATTGAGAGACAATGAACATAACTTGTAGGTGACTTAGAAGCTTTTAAGTTCACTGCTGTGAATATGATCAGTTTAGACTTTTTCTGTACTTTACACAGCTATATTTGTAGCATGTTGCCATAATCAGTAATCATCTAGAAAAATGTAAAATTTGTTCATAGTATTCTTATGAGAATAGCAAAATCTATTCTATACAAAACCATATTATTTATACTATATAATAATATGTGAGAAACTCCATTTTATAAAAAAGCTGAGATAATAACAGACCTCTTTTTGGAAAATTATTAGCTATTTCTGAAAATGTTGAACTTTTTAATGTAGGATCAGCATAGCCTAGGCCTGTTATTAGTGGAGTAAAAAAAATGTTAGTGAAGAAAGGGAAAATCAAAGGGGAAAAGAGAAAGGAGGTTTAAAAACTATAGAACAGAGAGATGGTTCAAGATGGTGGCATTAGAAAACCCTCCTCACTCTACCAAAGACACACCAAATCTACAACTACATATAGAACATTTGCCTCTGAAAAAGACCTGGAGACCAGCTGAACAACTCCACAACAAAGATGGAAAGGCCACATTGAGACAGGTGGGAGGGGCAGAGACTTGGTCTCACTCAGAACCCCACTGCTGACTCAGTGACCCACAAGAGGGAGAGATCTAACAAATATGGAGCATATTCCTGAGGAGTGAGGGGTTTGAGCCTCACATCAGGAACCCTAACTCTTGGGACCTGTACCAGAAATAAGAGCTCACAAATGTCTGGCTTTGAAAACCAATGGGGCTTACATCAAGGAGACCCCAGGATTATAGGAAACTGGGACTCACTCTTAAAGTGCTCACATACAGACTTACTTGTCCTGGGACCCAGCACAAAAGTAGCAGGTTGGAAATGCCTAGGCCATGGGTGAAGGAGATTCACTGGATAAGCTTAAAGTGTCTGCCAGAGGGACAGAGGTCTATTGGAACTCTCTTTGGGTAAAGGCATTGGTGCGTACCATTTTGCACTCTTTCTACCTTGCTAGCACCAGCACTAGCAGGTGCCACTTTAGCACTTTCCTTCAGCCTTGTAAAAGCTGTTTGCCCTGCCTCTGTGTTCTTCTCTGGCTCTGCTCCACCAAACTTGTTGGGCCACGTGCCCTGGCGCTCTGCTCCCCACAGACCCGCAATGCTAAAACTGGTAGGCAGCTCTCTTTGCCTTGGCCTGGTCTCTTCCTTGACCCCAGCAAAGCTGGCAGGGTGTATGCAGTCCATAGTGGGAATGCTTTGAACACCTCCCTCTTGTAGCCAGCTGTGTTTGTGTTTCTGGGACCCATGGAACTGAAATAATCAGAGAGTTCTTGGCAGGCGAAAACCCGCGTAACAGACTGAAATACCCGTCTTCCTGTGTCTGCTCTACCAAAACTGAAGAGATGGCTCTTTTGCCTGATGCATAGATAGGAACAAACATTGAAAGTTAAGGAAAAATGAGGAAACAAAGGAATATGTTCCAAATGAAAGAAGAAGATAAAACCCCTGAAAAAAACCTTAATGGAACAGAGATAATGGGGTGTCTGGGTAGCTCAGTCAGTTAAGTGTCTGACTTTGGCTCAGATCATGATCTCACGGTTCAGTTCGTGAGTTCATGCTCTGCATGTACTGACAGCTTGGAGCCTGGAGCCTGCTTTGAATTCTGTGTCACTGTCTGTCTCTGCTCCCCCCTGCTTGTGCTCTGTCTCTGTCTCTGTCACTCAAAAATAAATAAATGTTAAAAAAAAAAAAAAAAAACACACACAAGAAACAGAGATAAGTAACTTACCTGGTAAAGAATTCAAAGTAATGGTTATAAAAATGCTCACTGATCTCAGGAGAAGAATGTATAAACACAGAACTTCAACAAAGAGATAGAAAACCTAAGAAAGTACATGGAACTGAAGAACATAAAAACTTAAAGTTGTACTATAGGGGTTCGATAGCGGACTAGATGGAGCAGAAGAAAGGATTGGTGACTTGGACCAGGGAAGTAGAAGTCATTCAAACAGAGCAGCAAGAAAAATAAAAAGATAACTTGAGGGGCCTATGAGACAACATCAAATGGAACAATGCTCATGTAATAGGTGTCCCATAAGGAGAAGAGAGAGAGAAAGGGATAAAAAACTTATTTGAAAAAATTATGGCTGAAAACTTCACTAACCTGAGGAAAGTAACAGACATTCAGATCTAGGAAGCCCAGAGAGTTTCAAATAAGATGAACACAAAGAGATTCACACCAAGACACATTATAATGAAAATGTCAAAAGTTAAAGAGAGAATCTTAAAAGCAGATTCTCATAACAAGCAGAAGAAAAATAGCTTGTTATGTATAAGGGACTCCCTGACCCCCAGAATGTCATCAAGTTTTTCAGCAGAAAATTTGCAGGCCCAAAGGGAGTGGCATGATATATATGAAGTGCTGAAAGCAAAAAACTTCCAACCAAGAATACTCTACCTGACAAAATTATCATTCAGAATTGAAGGAGAGAAAGAGTTTTCCAGATAAGCAAAAACTGAAGAAGTTTCACCTCTACTAAACTGGACTTCTAAGACACATTAAAGGGACTACTTTAAGCTGAAGAAAAAGGCCAACTATTAACAAGAAAACATGAAAGTAAGTGTCTCTCTGGCAAAGATAAGTATATATTAAGGGTAGTGGACTAATTACTTATTTTAGTATGAAGGTTAAAAGGCAAAAGTAGTAAAAATAAGTATAACTACAACACTTAATTAAGGGATATACAAAATAAAAATATGTAAAATGTGGCATCAAAAACGTAAAATGTGGGAAGGGGAATGAAAATAGTTTTAGAATACATTCAAACATAACTTGCTATCAACTTAAAATAAACTGGTATGTGCACAGGCTGATATATGTAAGCCTCAGGGAAAACACAAAGCAAAAACCTATGGTATATATACAAAAAATCATGAGAATGGAATCTAAACATAACACTAAAGAAAGGCATCAAACTACAAGGGAAGAGAGCAAGAGGACAAAGGAGCAGAGAAGAACTACAAAACAACCAGGAAACAGTTAACAAAATGACAATGAATACGTACCCATCTATAAGTACTTTAAACATAAATGGACCAACACCCACTTCTGGCTCTATGGCTTCAGCATGGTTGCTTTAGGTGTGTGGAGGCTACACAACAGCATGGTGGATTGGGCGGGCAGCCAGTGGTGACTCCAGTGAGTGCTGATCTGGGGGGAACTGGGGAACCAGAAGCTTGGCTGAATCCTCATAGGACTGTTTTTCTCCACCTGGACAGAGCCTGGCTGCCAACCCCTCTGGCTTGGACCCCTTACAGAGTTCCCAGACTGATCTTACACATATGGCCTCCAAAGAAAGGCCAGCTCTGAAAGAAAGCCCAAAGGGAGAAGTTTGCAAGATGAATTGTACTGCTGTCATAGAAAATGGATGCTGGATTACAGGCATGGCAGCCGAGGCAGCAGGAGAAGTTGCAGGAAGAAGAAAGGAGGCAGAAAAATGCTCTTAAACCCAAACGGGCTCTACAGTAGAATCCACTACTAAGTCAATAAGTAGCAATTACCGTTTCCCTTCACTAGCCTCTCTCTGGCTTTCTTGTGTTCTTTTTTTTTTTTTTTTTTTTTTTGTAATGTTTATTTATTTTTGATAGAGGGAAAGCACGAGCAGGGGAGGGGCAGAGAGAGAGGCAGACAGAGGATCTGAAGCAGGCTCTATGTTGTGGGGCTCAAACTCATGAACCATAAGATCATGGCCTGATATGGCTTTCTTTTCTATCATCCATATGCCTCATCCTAGCCAGAAGAGAGCCTTTATGTTCCCCATCTGTCTTCCGAGCATAAGAGCTTGGATACGAGGAAGAATGGGTTGTCAGATCACTGCCTTGAGAGGTTGTCTCAGTCCCCTCATCCCTGGCTCCATTCCAGTTCAGCAGGATCTTGCTCTGAGATATGTACCCCTTTTGCAGACCATAGGACTGGCCCAACTATGAACTGTAGATGCTCTGAGAAAATGAAAAAGGGGCAACAGTTTTCCTGGTCTTAGCTGGCATTCAAGCCTTAACAGCCCATATACAGCTCAGGCTGTGTGCCAGAATTCATTTCATAAATGTTTTGATGAAAAGGGCACCCCCCCCCCGCCATGGACTAAATTCTTCAATCAAAAGA